AAAGCATCCAATAATGCAACTGAGTTGCATTATTTCATGCATTTAATGCAAGTCACTCTACTAGGCACTTCAAATAAAGAGTCAAATACAATCTTTCACCACAAGGAGTTTATAATAAAGATTCCACAAGAAAAATGCAAGTTAAGTACTACAGTGTATCAACAAAGGAAAAATAAAATTTCGAGTAATAACAAATTTCATAGAACAAGTGATATTTAAACAAAGCTTTCAAAACTGAGTAAAATTTCGACAGACGTAAGTAGTTGGGAAGATATTCTAATTCAAGATGGAGAAAACAGCATAAAAAATGTGGGTGTGCATGTACATGAACATATACACACACAGACACTCATTCATCCATGTTTTAGCCCCTTAACCCAACGGAAACATTCATTTGAAAATCTGCAGTAAGACTTTATAGCTTAGCATAAGTGGATGGTGTATGGGCTGGTTGTGACTGCCCAAAATTCCTATGTTGAAGTCCTAACCCCCCTGTATCTCAGAATATAACTGCATTTGGAGACAAAATCTTTAAGAAGGTAATTAAGGTTAAACTAGGCCATTAGGATAGCCCCTAATCCAATAGGACTGGTGTCCTTATAAGAAGAGGTTAGGATACAGAGAGGCAAGGCGATGTGGAGACACAGGGAGAAGAGGGCCATCCACAAGCCAAGGAGAGGTCTTAGAAGAAACAAACCTGTGGACACCTTGATCTCAGACTTCTAGCCTCCAGAATTGCGAGAAAATAAATTCCTGCTGTTTAAGCCACACCGTCTGTGGTATTTTGTTACTACAGCCCTAGCAAAATAATACAGATGGTGAGTTAGAGATTCTAAAAGATCTAATTTGGCAGAACTCCCCATGTGACTCGGTAGTTAAGCCTCCTTACTGAATAACTCTTTCTGTTGGTGAGTGAGTGAAATCAGGTGAAGTGAGAGAAAATAAGAGAGGGTGAGATAAGGGCAGCCTTAAAAACAGCTCTAGTGCTTTCAAATTAAAATTTATTTTCTATAAACTTGTCCATTCCAACCTTAACCATAACACCAGTTTTTGCCCTTATTAATTTTTTTTCCCCCCCTAAAAAAGTATGTGGCGATTTCCTGAAGCTTCTGTGGATCTCTGCTGTAGCACTTTAGTCACCAGACCTCTTGAGACCATCTTACCTGAGAGCAATGGCTGCAACGTACTGCCCCAAATGGTCCACTAAGTAAAAGCTTCACCTACGTCCTTTTTGTTTGATAGCGGAGAAAAAGAAAAAAGAAAATGGAAAATAAACTTAGTAGCATTTAATAAGCACGTGTCTAAGACTAAAACTAATCCTAGACGTTTGTAACTGCACTTCACAAGCGGTAGCTCTCCCTTTTCCTTGATGGCCCCCTCCAGACCCGTTCAGCAGGGGAGCTGCGGCCCCGAGGCCGCTCGCGGGAGTCGGAGGAGCCCAGGGGCGGCTCGTGCACACGCGCGGCCCAGCGGGCCTCCCGCCCGCCCGCTCCTCGGGACTGCCATCCTTCCCTTCTCTAATCTTGTGTTTACAGATCCTTCTGGCAAGGCTTTCAGGATGGAGTGCAAATACTCCCCAGAGATTAGACCAAAGACACCAAAACACAACCACGGAGCGCAGACTCGAGGCCTGCGCTTCAGGATCAGCAATTCCAGCGAAGACGGAGACCGCGGAGAGCTTATTAGCAGAGACAACAACAGGAGCTGGCTCCGTATAAACTAACACACCCAAAGGCTAAGAAGCAGAGAACTAGCTAACCTGGCGATCCGGAAACAATGGTGACTTATAAAATGACTACAGTAAACGGGCAACAACAGAACCTTTTCACTTGGCTCAGTAAACCGGAAGTCGGACGCCTCTGGATTTCATGGTCTCGCGAGAGCTTTTTGGTTTCCCCCGTGTGCGCATGCGTCTAAATCGGGGGCCTGGTGAGCGGCCCGGACCTAGAGGATGCGCCGGGGAGGTGGGGAAGACGCTGAGAGAAGGGAGGGCCCGTCAGGAAAGAGGTGGCCAACGGAAGGGGTGGAGCCGGGGCGGGGCGGGGCGGAGCGGAGGGAGAAGTCGTGCAGGCCCCGCCCCTCGCGGCGTGCCCCGGAAGAGCGTCAGCGGCTCTATAAGAGCGCGTGCGCGGGACGATCCGACCTTTTACATCCCGGAGGCGCAGAGTGCGGGTTAATGTTGGGGTGCTGTTTTGTGCACTAAAATGATCAGTGGGACAGAACTTTTTGGCCTAGTGGAAATGAGGGCGAATCAAGAGTTTGGTACTGATAGATCGAGGTCAGCTTTGAAAACTTGTAGGTTCGCTAGCCTGAGCGGACTTACGGGTTCGTTAGGTCGCGCGGCGGCCACGTGGGGCGCTGGGCCCTGAGTGAAGGCCGAGCGCCGGCCTCGGGCACAGGTTCGGTGCGCCGGATGGCTCCGGGGAAGAAGGTCGTTAGTTCCACTTTGGGTGTCACGTGCTCATCTTCAGTCTCCTCCGCCACTGTTACGTAGTAACACCCCATGCTGATGCTCGCCACAGTTTGATCCAGTGGTGAGTAGTATCTGTAGTTGTCCTTGCTGATCAGTTCTGGGATCGTGAATCTCCATGTGTCTTTGGGACCTGTCAGCTGTGGCAGTCTCCCTTCCTAGCCATGGAAGAGCATATTCTTGTTTATTGGCAAAGCTGTCACCATTTAATTGGTATCAGATTCTGACTTGCACAAGTAACAGTCACTTTTGAAAACCTGGAGGGTGCTGGATTATTGGGCGTACATCTAACTATTGTTCACATGTTTCCAGGAAGCTGAACTAATTGTTCCGATGAGTGACGGAAAACAAGCAGGTACGTTCTTTTGTATTCATATTTCGGAGTTAATCTGAAACCCTTAGTGCTAAGGAATTGGAAGGCCAACATTGGCCCACTTTGCTGGCATTTTGTAGTTTGAAAGAGTAAAGAGCCAACTGAATAGAAAGTAACAGAAATCGCTGCTGAGATCTCAGCACGGTGAGGTAAATACACAGTTTTATAAAGCTGGTTTTCTTTTGCAGGTATCAAATCCCAAGTGATATGGGTGAAGACTTAGCATCTTTCGGTGCGCTGCCAGACGTTTTAAATCTCAACAGCTCGGGGATTGAGTGTGGTGACCAGTGTCTGGAAACTCTCAGGGCAGTGTTTTCAGTATAGTCCTGAATATTATTTTGAAGTAAGTATGGTGTTTAAGTAGAGAATAAGTGAGTGCTTCCTTGTTATAATTAAAGTGTTTGATTCATCTGGATAATCAGTGTTCCTTGACTGATGAGTATGTAGAAAGGCAATTACAAATGGTAGGCAGACTCCCTTTCTGCTGTTGCGAGTTCATTGGAAGTAGTATGAGTGAGTATCATTGTGAGCTATTACAGCATTTGGGGAAAACTCTTGTGCATAAAAACCAGGTTACCCCTAAGGAAGAGAGCAGAGCCATTTTATACCACACAAAAGATTAAGGCAACTGTACAAGGTGCAAAGCTATGCACTTTATTTACACAAATGTGCACTGAACACTCATGTCTTTTAAAAGTCACACTTAAATTTTAACAAGAAAAAATGAGCTATAATAAATATTAGGCATATTTTATGGACCAAGTATTCTACCTCAAAGGGGAGCAAACTAGGTCACCTGTTAACTCTGTCCTTTTTGTCAATTTCTGGTCTAGTTAAAATTTCAATATCAGTGTTGCTTGCACTGGAGTTAAATTTTAAGGGCAGCCTGTGAGAAGGTTTCAAGAAAGATAGAGTTTCTCATGTATTGCATAATTTTCCCAAGCCCTTGTGCAGGCCTGCGCTGTCTGTAGCTCTACCATCTCTAGATGTAAATGCTTAAAAAGTTTTTCCTTTATCAAAATGAAGAGCTTTTAAGAAAGTTGGAATGCCATTCTACCTGGCGTAGCATTGCAGTTCTGCACAGTAGTAAGTTAGAAAGCACCTTTAGGTTAGCACCAGTTTTTTTACCAAGCTGAGGATTTACAAAAAAGGACACAATTTGATGCAGAAGGGGAAAGAGGGTCAAGTCCGTCTGTGGTGACTTAGCCATTTAAGAGGATTACTTAAGCCACTCTTAATCCTGAAGTTCAGGCCAACCTCTTCACCTGTTATGCTTCCATCCCTTCAATATACAAGAACTGTTGAAACTACCTGGGATTTGGGGAAGGACTCATGATAATAGTAACCATTCTCATATCTGATATGGATTACTCAAGTATCCTGGGGGGAATACTTTTTATATTTGGACAAAGATTTTGCATTGCTGCCAAGAATGTCTTGAAAGGGTGTAGAGGAAGCAGCTCTTTGGGAAATAGCCAGAGGGAAAATTTCCCTTTAGACTGGAGAAGCATGGCCAGGGAAAAACAATACCGTTGTCAGCATTGGGGCTCTAGTGGAGTTTGGATTCAAAGCTTTTAACCAGCTGTCTGACCTTGCCCTCTAAAACTAGGGATACTATAAAGTCTTACAGCCTTTTGTAAATTGACAGTTAGGCCTATAACCACTTAATGCAGTGCCTAGCACATTATATAACTGATGTATGAATTAAATCAGTTGAAACAAATAAGTTTTAGAGCTTTTCTCCAGTGTATTGGCAGGGAAAGCATTTTAATAGTGTATTTTTATTAGATGGGACTGTATCAGGATAGTCTTAGAAATCTACAGTTCTAACTCAAATTACCAGAAGGTTGCGATAGATGGCACTCTTACATCATAGTCCAGAAAACATGGAGCATGATGCTAAGTTAACATTTCTTATTTTACCAAGTTATAAGTTTCAAGTGGTTAAAAGTAATCAGTAGGTAATGTTAAATAAGGTGGGTAAGTTAGGTTGTGCATCCAACAACTTGAAGGTATTCTTTATTATGTTACCAGGAATTCTTCCAAATTTTGATAGTAACATACATATTAGAATGTATTTTTCTCTGATGATTGCCATAGTGCTTGGTACAGCAACTTCATTCAGGAATGTATTGTGATGTTGATCCTATTCCAGTCTAGGTTTATAATGGAATTCCTTTACCTTTGTGGCTGTTAATTTCGTCACTTGACAAAGGCTACAGAGATAGATAATGTGAAAATATCAGCCTTTTGAAAAGAATTTTGAGCTTAAAAATTACATAAACAGAAAATGGCACTATTTTAATTGTAGTAAAGGGTATTTTTTATGTCAAATGTGGGCACTTAATATGAATCCATATACCATATTCAGTTATGAGTTCTCAATCCAAATAAATGTAAAAACAGCCTTATTGCACAATTGATACACAATAATCTCGAGAATGCTGAGAAATTGGCAAAGAAATAAGTAAGGCTCAAATGAGAATAAAAGAATTTAGTATCCAGTGAAACTAATTTGAGTAGGCAAATGCTAGTTAAGGGTATTAGTATTTCACTGAAGTGTTTAACCAAAAACATTCACATCACAAATTCTCAGAAGCAGCAAAGGAGTACACAATTTTTATCACAATACAAAGCAGGATCATGGATCTCAGTCTCCGTGAGTTGTCATCTCTGGCTGAGTGCTAATGGGAGTTAAAAATTTTCCAACAGATTCTTGAAATACTATTTTCTCTTGAGGTTTCCATGAAGAATTACAATTTGGTGACACTTTTTATCCAAGGTACAAAGGCTGAGACTTTGGTATAAACACCAGGCGAATCCTTGACTCCACAGCCATAGCCCCAGGAGGTCACCCCATACACAACCCAGCTCTCTCCTGGCCGCTCGCACATGAGTGGTCCTCCGCTGTCTCCCTGGCAGCTGTCCACACGTTTGTGTTCAAGGAGGTTTCCAGCACACAGCATCCTTCCTGTAAACCGACCCTTATAACGTTCTTCACAAAACCTCTTGGGAAGTAAGGGGACAGCAGCTTGTTGCAGAGTTCTTGAATAGGCTCGTCCTGCTCAGACGAAATACGTCAGTTAGTCAGATTCCAGCTAAAGATCTTACAGAAAAGAGCTACATTTCACAGTTTAATGAACATTTAATAGTCTTGAAAATAAAAGCCCTATTGTGGCATTAGTTTAAATGAGTGATAACTAAATGGTATATAATATCATTAGCTGCCTTTTTCAATGTTTGTACTTATCACACTCCTTAGCCTTCACTAATCTATTTGTCACTACTGAATGTTTTTGAGGAATAACTTAGTAACATTTAGGTACTTGACTGTAGAGAAAGGTAATCTAAAGAAAGCATATTTGTGCAAGCTTTAGCATTTGAATTCTGTATATTAACAAGCTGAGGATGCATTCATGCTGGTTTTGCATTAGCATATTCATTCCTCTTAAGATTTATCTATGTCATTGAATTTTTAGGATTAATCATAAGCATATAAGGTAGCAATACCTATCCTAAATAGAAATATGGTATTGCATAAAGATGATTCAGAAACAAAACATTCCTGTATACAAACAGGCTTAAGTTTAACCACTGGATGTTAGTGTACTCTATTTACTGGTAAGCCACTCAGTCTTTGTTTAGTGGCTTAAGTGTATAATTGAGTGTCCCCCATGATCTCCTTTTCTTAGATCTTACTTCCACCATTCTCTGGTCCTAAATACTCACCTGGAATAATTCGTCAATAATAAAACATTCTGTAAAAAGTACTTGGTTGGTCATTTCTATTCAGATTTGGTGCCTCAAGCACAGTGATTGGACCTACCCTGTTGAAGTAATCATAATTCTAACATACTTTAGCCTTCTCCGAGACTTGATTTGCTTCATATGTCAGCATAGTTTACTGAGAAGGCATTTACTCACCTGATTTTAAACCATCCAGGAAATGTTTCTTTTTATGGTTTATCTCAGGATTGCTCCTTGATGCCTTCTCAGTATTCCATATGTGCTACAAATGTTCTACATTTTTGCTGCTAAGTGTAAGTCTAAAGTCCCGATTTAATGTAGCATGGGATAAAATGAACACATATATTACTAAAAACTTTATTGAAATTGTCACCTGTAGAAATACTTATTTGATGCTCTTTTCAAGAGTACAGTTATCAGTGTAATAATTTTTAAAGGAGAGCAGACAGCCTTTCATTTTGCCCTATTCAATAGCCATTTGTGAATCAAGCACCTAATCCAGGTGAGACCTAGATCTGTTGTTTCAAGAAGCATCCTGAGCAGCATCTGCTGATGTACACTGATTCAACTATAGCAAGACAATACAGAAAGCTGTTCTGAGGAGACCATAAGCGAAACTTGCTTGGCGACTGGGAGATGGGAAGAATGGGAAGGCGAGGGATGAAGGAGAAACTTGAGTGGGTTGGATCCCTCCACTTCAGCCTCAGCACCTCTGCTTTTATCAATTTTATATTTAGGAATTCACCCTAAGATTCAGTTTGATAAAGGGCTCCATTACAACAAACACAAAGTCCTCTGCTGGGGCAGCTACGTCACAGTCATCTGGGAAAGCTTTTTAAAATGCAACCAGGCCCAAATCTCTTCCTTTGTCGCCTCACTAGTCGGGGGGTACTACAATTATAGGATTTTCTACCCTTTAAACTCCACAGGCAGCTAAGTTCTCAGTTTCTGCTCAAATTCTAATCTGAACCAATAGTACCCTCAGGATATGAACCCAGTCTACATGCATGCATCTCACACTTTGCAGAATTTCTAAATAACCAAGCCTGAACCCATTTAAGCTTTTACTACTCACTGTACACCCAAATGTAGGATAATCCCCAGATCTCATTTGTTCCTTTGTATTATGTGCATTACCTGTGTCTCCCCATCCTGTTATGTAACAATTGGAGGCTGTTTTCTGTGGCCTCTCTCTCCGGAGAGGCAAACAGGCTGGCAAAACGTGGCTGCTGAATCTGGCACACTGCTCTTCTGGTCCTCGTAGTCTAACCAGGGCGATGTCGTAGTCACTGCTGTCCGGTCGATACTCCCGGTGAATCACAATCTGCTGGACTCCGATTTCTTCTTCAAACTCCTCTGGCACCAGAGTATGATAGTCCCCAACCCGAACAGCGTAGTTCCTGGTGCTGTTACCATACCTGAGAGGCAGAGAGGGCTGATGAGAGGCTTGTTTCAAACGCTGGAAATTGGTAATTGTCAGCAAGGAACGTTAATAGAGATACTGTAAGCCTTTCTTCCAAATCATTAGCCCCTCCTGTAAACTTAACCTTTCTTTCCATTTCATTTCTCTGACCCCACTGCTTGGGGTCCTATACTTGAAACCCATAGTAACATTTCTTTTCTTCATTCATTTCACTGTTTAGGTTACTGTCTTATTAACTATTTTCTGAGAAGGAGCAAATGAGGATGAGTGGAAATAAGAGCTAATCATTAACCTGTAATTTCCCCACCAAATGAAAAAGGATCAAAACAGGAACAAAGAGTATAGGGCAAAATTATTGTCCTGTATTTGCTGTCTTCACTTTTCTATCATTTCCCAGGTGGTTAGTTCATCATGGAACTCCACGAGGGCAGAAACCGTGTCCGATCTTTGTATCCCTCAGAGCACTCAGCACCATCCACTGTACTCCCCGTTCCTATGAACTGAATGCAAACCAAACCGTATTCTCAGGGCAACATATATTTATCTTTTCTCATTTCTTTCTTTATTTTTATAATTTTATTTATTTTTCCCCCCCAGAGCCCCAGTAGATAGTTGTACGTCATAGTTGCGCATCCTTCTAGTTGCTGTATGTGGGACGCGGCCTCAGCATGGCCGGACAAGCGGTGTGTTGGTGCGCGCTCAGGATCCAACCCGGGCGGCCAGCAGCCGAGCATGCGCACTTAACCGCTAAGCCACGGGGCGGCCCTCTCATTTCTTTAAATCTTTGCTCAAATGTCACCTCAATGAGACCTACTTTGACACTCATGTAGAATTGCAGCCCACCCTTCTTTGTCCTCTCATCCCCCAGCACTCCCAATATCTTTAATCGGCCTTACTCTCTTTTTTTTTATTTATTTCTCCCCCAAAGCCCCAGTAGATAGTTGTACGTCATAGTTGCGCATCCTTCTAGTTGCTGTATGTGGGACGCGGCCTCAGCATGGCCGGAGAAGTGGTGCGTCGGTGCGCGCCCGGGATCCGAACCCGGGCCGCCAGCAGCAGAGCGCACACACTTAACCGCCAAGCCACGGGGCCAGCCCTCTTTTTTTTTTTTTTTTTTAGCGTTTACCACTTTCTAGCAGACTGTCTAATTTAGTCTTTATTATGTGTATTGTCCTCTCTCTCCCCCTGCTTGAATAAGAGGTATTCAAGGGCAGGGATCTGTATCTGTTACCGTTCACGGATAAATCTTAAACACCTAGAACAGTGATGCCCTGTTAAGTAGGAATGCAGCACATTTGTGATTTAGTGAATGAATGTGTATTTTTAATGTGTATGTCTTTTCCCATAAGAAACTATTCAATTAAAATAGAAACAACATTTACTAGATTGATAGTTCTCAGCCTGTTTTTCAACCAACACACCTTGATTCTGATAACATCCACCTGGAGCAGTGTTTCAACCTCAGCACTACTGACATTTGAAGCCAGATAATTCTTTGCACAGGACAGCATTGTGCTCTATTCACTAGATGCCAGCAGCACGCACACACACCAGTTGTGACAACCAAAAGCATCTCCAGACATTGCCACATGTCCCCTAGGGTGCAAATTGTCCCCAGTTGAGAACCACTGACCAAGAATAAATGACCCGAGCCACCTCCTGGTTACTTCCTCTTGCTCACTGAAGATTATAGCACCTCGCTCACTCCCCTTCTGCCACTACTTACAGTGTTCTTGATGACCTAGTTTTCAACACCTTTACCTTGTAGTTCCCTAGCTTCCTCACGAGCAGTAAGCGTAGTCTCCACTCCATCTCAGCCACCCACTCCCAACGTAAGACCCAGATCGCCATTCATCAAATACTACACATTTCTGAAATCTTGGTTTCAGGCATCTCATACTTTACTACCGCCTATCTTTACAGTTTTACAGCCCTGCAATCCTTCAGCCCTTCTGGACTTTTATCCTTTGTCCCCACTCGTTTCATTTCAATCTCACTCTGCTTATGACTTAACCTTCTTACCAGGCCTGGATTCCACAATCCCTCTTGCAAAAACTCTGAATCCTTTTTTCCTTTTATCTGCCAAGACTCCAAACTCTGGCTTCAACTCACTACCCACTTTGTGCTAGCACCTCACTGCTCAAAGGGAAAAACTTTTACATTTAACAACTCTCACCTTAATTTTTTGACCAAAACTTGAAAGCCTTCCATTGGATACAAGACCTGTACTTGAATGCGAGTTTAGAGAAGCTAGTATTCAAAAACTTGGAATTTTCTAGTGACTGCCTATTTAAAATATAACTTCCCATTTACTCTTATAAAATTACAGGAAATTATAAGATGCCCAAACATTCTAGTAGCCCTTAGTTGGGCTCTGACAACCTTGCACTATAGAAAGTAATTTTTCTTAACTATATCAGCTGAAAAAACTGAAAAATTCAACAAAGGTGATGTAGCTTATACAGCCACCTACTATTGATCTATAATACTAATAATTTCCTGTGATTCCTTGAGACTTTCCATTTTCAATCTTAAATAATCACATATCTTTAAAGTTCAGAAGGCTTTTTATATATTGTACCTAGAGAATATCCTCTTGTGGGTTCCACTTAAAAATTTAAGTAAAGTTTAGGATTATTTCACATCCTGAAACTGTAAAAAGTAATAGTCATGGAGAAGAATCAGATATTTAAATAATTCTTACTTCCACTTTTCCATGTACTGATACTATTATAAAAATTCAATATGCCTAATTAATATAATCAGGTTTTAAAGTAAAGCCCCAAGTGATTTAACACCTTCCTAACAAGAATAATTGTCAATGCATCCTTGAAAGTGCTGTTGAAAGGTTTCATAAATCTTTGGAATGGAATTTAAGAAATAATCTTGAACTTCGCTGTCGAATACAGTAGCCACTAGCCAAATGTGGCTACTAGAGCACACTTGAAATGTAGTTAGTCTGAGCTGAGATGTGTACAGCATGTACAGGATTTCGAATATTTGGTATGAAAAAAGAATACTAAATATATTCTCTCTATAGATAATTAATAACAATATTAAATATCTCAATTTTTATATTTTGCAATGATAATATTTTGGATATATTGAATTAAATAAAATATATTATTAATTTCACCTCTTTGGTTTTTATCTTTTAATGTGGCTACTAGAAAATTTAAAGTTTCAGGGCCGGCCCTGTGGCTTGGTGGTTAAGTGCGCGCGCTGCGATGCTGGTGGCCCGGATTCGGATCCCGGGTGCGCATCGAGGCACCGCTTCTCCGTCCATCCTGAGGCCGAGTCCCACATACAGCAACTGGAAGGATGTGCAGCTATGACATACAACTATCTGCTGGGGCTTTGGGGGGAAAAAATAAAAAATAAATAAAAAATTTTTAAAAAAAAAAAAAAGAAAATTTAAAGTTTCATATATGACTTGTATATGTGGCTCACATTACACTTCTACTAGACAGCACTGGTCTAGAGAAGTAGTTTGTCATAAACTAGGCATCTGAGTTTATTATATTTTTTTATGCAGTCTTTTATGCTGCTTCAACTTTTAAGCTTGAGTTACGAGACTCCCTTCATATGTCAACTTTTTATATCCTTTAAGATAATTACATTACTGTTCAACCTGAAAAAAAAAAAGTCTTACTACAACAGTATTTTCCATTCTTTGAAAAAGAGCTGTGACACTTGGCTAAAATAATGCTTGCATCTAAGTTGGCTATATAAATATATTCTACATTCTTTAAAAATTGGGTCTTTAGGGGCTGGGGGGAGGGCAAAAGGGATAAAGGGGCACATATGTATGGTGACGGATGAAAACTAGACTATTGATGGTGAACACGATGCCGTCTATACAGAAACTGATATATAATGATGTACACCTGAAATTTACACAATGTTAAAAGCTATAATATGACCTCAAAATAAAAAACTGGGTCTTCGGCTGGTAAACAAAAAAACAGGACATTATTACAACAAGGAAATTTATTTTTAAAATAATCTCAGTGTTAAAGTCTTGGGCAACCATGCCTTAATGTGTCACTTCATGTCTGGACGAATGCAGTAGTCTCCAGATGGCCTTGCTGCTTCAAGTTGTAACTGTTTCAATCCATCCTTCACACTGCAGCCAGAATGATGCTTCCGCCTGATGATGTAACCTCTCTTCTGAATACCCTTCGGTGGGTCCCCGTGTCTACATAATGAAGTTCAGATTCCTTAAATGATACACAAACCCATCCAAGAACGGCCCTTGTCCGCCTCTCTGATACCAGCTGGTCTCTGTGCCTGTCTTTTAGCCGCCTGAAGAGGCATCTCACAAACCCGTGTCTTTATTCAAGCTATTTGCAGTATCCTTCCCCCTCCCCCATTTCTAATATGGCAAAAACTGAATTTATCTTTCAAGTCTCAAGTCAAGAATCTCCTAGAAAGTTCTTCCTGATCCCTGCCCTGCAAAAAAATTGGCCAATCCTTCTTTTGAACATTCCCAATAGCACTATCATAGCATTTATAACAGTTTCTAGGGCTTGTTAAGATGTCAGGTCTCCCCAGCTAAAGGCTCCTCAAGTGTGCAGACCATGTCAATGCTCACTTTTCTGTCCTCAGCACCAAGCAAAGTGCTTGGCACAGGGAAAGCTCCTGATAAATGTATGTTAAACAACTTCTTTTGAAAGACATGTGTGTCCCCATACAAACTTACACCGTCATCTCTAACTTACTGAAATCAAAGAGACGTCTCACCAATTCTCATATTAACAACACCACAAAAGTTTCTATTATTTCATTAAAAAGAACAAAGATTTAATGTTCTTGTTAATGCTGGCTGTTCAGCAGAATCACCTATACCACTTTTTTTTTGTGTGTGTGAGGAAGAAGACCAGCCCTGAGCTAACATCTGATGCCAATCCTCCTCTTTTTTGCTGAGGAAGACTGGCCCTGGGCTAACATCTGTGCCCATCTTCCTCTACTTTATATGGGACGCCGCCACAGCAT